GAAAACCTTGACTGGGCAAGGCTTCTGACTGACAGCCCTTGTCTTCTCCTTGAACAATAGTTTTCTCTGCTGACTCTGCTGCATCTCACTTGATTTCTGCAGACGAACTGCAACTGTATTTCCCATGACTGAGTACAATAGGTTTACTCAAAGAATGTTCAAAAGCACACAACAGCTTCACAACATCAACACGAAACCCCATTGACTTAACTTGTTTTCAAAATCCCCCATCAACATACATGCACTCTGTAGATATTCAGAAGAAACTAGCTGCAAGATGGATGGTGATTGATTTACACAGCAGTTACATGTGGAAACACAAATTATTCTTGGCCATCTCAAGAGAACACGCAATTGCTAATGGCTTGGGTTAATTTTGCGTATAATTTGCATCTGTTTCAGCACAACAAAATAGGTGACAGCCCCTTCCCTGATTCATTTCTCAGGACAAAGCTTGATTGTTAATGTCAGTTATCATTAACTTATACATTCTCTGTGGCAATGATTCTATCACTTGCCAACTAATCACACACTTCTCTCATACTATGTAACTGCTGCTTCACTTTACATGGGCATTTTGTGAAAATTGTCCTGAAGAATGCAAGGCAAAAAGCTTCAACAAATGTCTCCTTTTGCAGCAATAGTTTGGGTAAAGTTAACCAGGTTAGTTGAAATTCTCCGCCATGAGCCCAAAAGACTATGGTAATGTTCACAAACTAAATAGCAATTTTGTGCACTCTGGTTAGTTGCTTTTGCCCAACATTCATCACTTAATGCAAGCAACAAGAAATTCCCCAAACCGCAGTCTGAATGAGCTCACAATTCCACTTAGCCATTTGTCTGTCCCAGTTTCCATAAAGGAAACAGGTTCAAAGAGAGGCCAACAGACATGGTAGGAATACAGAGCTGGCAAGCTGCCAAGCCAGAGCATCTTCAAACAGTAATGAATGGTATTTCTCATGGTCCAGATTAGAGTGCGATGGTTAAAGCTCACTGTGTTACATTTATTTAAAATATGCAAAACTCCTGGCATGGATAATCCAGTGAGAAACTATAGATCTTTAGCCAGCAATGCAGCTGTTGTTGGCATGCCTAACATGTGCTCCATCCAAACTTAATTCAAGGGAATGTGCTAATATAGAATCGCAACCACTATTTCTGCCCATTCAGTTAAGGAAATTAAGCTGTGATCTCATGTTGCAAGATGCTGATTTTACTCAAAATATTCAGGTCCAACTGTGGATTTACTCTTAGGATTCCATAATCCTAAAAGTTTGATTAATAAATTGCAACACTGTCAATTTCTTTGGGAAAAAACAGTTGGAATTAAATCAAAAACTTCATTGGGCATAGTTGTATCTTATTTTTACACTGTCTTGATCACATATGTAATATTACATCATGATCTATGTTTGGTTCAAGGTGTAAACTGAGTCCAAGCTACAGACCAGAATGTAGTGTCATATTTTGTTTATTTTTAATTAGTTGCAGTCAACCCCACAGCTTCCTTTCAATGTGGAGTATTTTTATGCGAAGTTTCTCCTCCTGACAGCTTCTATCAAATTTCTGATCATTTGATATCAGAACAAAATCCAATTGCAAAGCAATTCCACGTTGAAAAACAAAATAAGAATGTGCAGATTTTAGAAAACATTCAATAAAACATTTCTGGGTCATATACTATCAGTAAAAGGCAAGTCATACTTTTTTTGGGTCGCTAACAGTTTTGCTGTGTTAAAAGTTAACATTTTAGACAGAAATTAGTGATATTACTACAATGGAACAAAGATATTTACACCAGGTGTTCGATACTCCATGTCTTAAGCACATGTTATCACTTACAAAAGCAAATTCTTAATGCTCCACATTCATGTTCTAGAACACATTGCTGCTGTGGATTTTGTTGCAATCCACTGGGTGGTATTCCATAAATGGAGTCATGCTATTCCCAAAGTCATATGAAATGTTATAATTTTTCATAATGTACCCATAATGCCTCAATTTACTTGATATTCAGACCAAGGTTGATAGAAAGCAAGGGCCAGGTTTCTGCACTGAATGAGAATTATCAGTTATTAGATATTAGACTATAGCTACAATTAAGCAAATATAAACCATTGGCTACTATCACTAACTAAAACTCTGATCCCCTTATAAACTTCATCATCACACATCACACACACACATACCACACACAACAAAAGAAATGGATAATAAGTTTAATGTTCTTTACTTCCTGATTCTCATGTTGAGATGAGCCTACTTTGGTTCACCAGACCCATGTCTTTCTCTGGAAGATTCCCCTGGTTTATAAGAAGTACAGAGTGATGGATTCACTTGTAATATGTCTCTGGTTTATCACTTCAAAAATCATAGCTCACAGCAACTGCTGCAGGAAAGGTAACTAGTTTTCCTTAAGTTCAAACTGCAAGGAAGAGGCAGCTTCTGCTGGGCAAAACAGCAGCACACCCTTTTGGGTCTTTCTCTCTCTAAATTGTTTCAACTTGCTCAGTTAGCTGAAAATTAATCATCTTCACTTGTAAAGAACTCCTTGGCTCCTGATCATGTGCACATTGTAGGAGTTCACAATAGGTATCAAATTTCTTACTGTGAAATTATACAGCCATCCTGGTAAATCCCTTTTTTCTCAAAACAGTTATTTCATTTTCAAGTCCACAGCTTTTAAAGATGAAAACAAAAGACACTGTTCATACAATATTCATACAATTAAATCTAGGAACTGGCCTGACTCTTAGTTTAATTTGCAAAGACTTAAATGTGGGTCCAAATGCCCAAATGCAGTTTCCACTTTAAAAATAAATGCTACATCCAATGGAGAGCACAGCTTAAAGGGCATACAGGATTAAATCTTCCTTCCCTGCCATTTCTTTCAGAAGTGAAACAATAGATTGGATTGGGAAATTGGCTATGATGTAGCAGCATTGTCACTTTTGGGATATTCTTCTGGAAATAGAGGATGTAGGACATCTTTGCCCATATTTCAGGATAAATGATATTGTGATTTTGATTTTTTTTCCCTACAGTCTGCCATTGTTCTCTGAAACTTCTAATCCTTTATTCTTTCAAAGAATAAAATGAACAAAATATGATTAATACCTTTACAAACCAGGAAGTAAATGATTACAAGTCACTGTTGAAAATTTTGAAGCATCAATTTACTTATTCTATGCGACTTCATGTTTTCTCAAGGAAAACAATTCAGCCAGTCAAACTAATTACATTACAGCAGAGCTTGTAAATCAATCAGAATCCAAGCAGGTTATGGTCCTAAAAAGGAAGTGGGAGACTATCACTCTCTGAAGAATTTCAAATGAGCTTACATAAAAAATCTCTTTGCAATAAATGCTATAATTTAGATTTGTTATTAAACACTTGGAATAAGTCCATTTAAACATATATATAACTGCTGTATATATGTTTAAATGGACTTATGCCGGATGTTTAATAGCAAATCCAAATTGTAGCATTTATCACAAAGTGACTTTTTATGGAATAAAAACCAAAAGAACTTCCGATGCTGTAAGTCAGGAACAAAAACAGAAGTTGCTGGAAAAGCTCAGCAGGTCTGGCAGCAGCTGTGAAGAGAAATCAGAGTCAATGTTTCAGGTCCGGTGACCCTTCCTCGGAACCCCTCACGTTGAGATGATCTGGAAGATTCCACTGGTTTATAATTAGTACAGAGTGATGGATTGACTTGTAAAATGTCTCTGATTTATCAAATCAAAAATCATAGCTCACAGCAACTGATGCAGGAGAGGTAATTGATTTTACTTAAGCTTAAACTGCGAACTCAGAACTCTGTTCAGAGGAAAGATCACCGGATCTGAAACATTAACTCTGATTTCTCTTGAAAAACAGATGCTGCCAGACCTGCTGAGCTTTTCCAGCAACTTCTGTTTTTGTTCTTGAGTTTTTATGGAAGCTCATTTGAAATTCTTTTGAAATTTTATTATATATATTTCTAACAGTAATGCTCGGAGATAGACTAATGATTCTAGCTGTAAAGGCATAAAACCCTATTGTATATAAACATCCTTCAACATTATAATAGTATTGGTCTATATAGGATTCTTTTGATGACACCAATTCCAAGCAGTTTCATAAATAAATAAGCTGTCTTGATCTCAGGGCACTGTCCTAAAACCTTTGCTGAGTATGAAGATATCTGGCTGTTGCTCTGGGATATTCTTGGAACTGGATGTGTTGATGCATATTTGCCCCAGGTCTCATTAGTTCCTTGGGTTCTTCAATTCTTTGATTCTAAATATCTATCCTGTGCTTTCATCTAAATCACGTGCACGAGGTTACTGTTCAGTCAGCTAACAGTACATCTCTGCAGACTTCATTTGCCCTCAATACACAACCAATTGCAGTTTGCAAAATTTGTGTTGTATTAAAATGTTTACTATTGCTTGCATCAGCTTGGACATTATAGATAATTGTGCAACTTGGCAGGCTCTTGGTATGAGAGAGAAATTAAGCAGGTTATTAAAGTAAATTCAAAGGAATTCAAAATCACTTTGTTCCAAACTGGAAGCAAACAGAAGCACACATTCAGACATGAGAAGCCTCCGGCAAGCAGAATAATATTGTGAAAGCAAGAAAAACAAAGGTATCTGAATCTGACCAGAAGAGGACAAGTTACTTCTGTAACTGTGGTGACTGAATATTTGTACTTGTTCTTTCTGAAAACATTGATGTGAAACAAACTGCACAACCTCTATTCCACTTGACATGTATACACTACTACAATAGAGAAGAAAACATGAACTATATTTTGACTACTAATTTGCCTTTTAAAAAAATCAGAGCTTGCTGAGATTGATTTCTGTCCACCCTACCAAAGATCATCTTTTTCTTAACATTAAAAGCAAATTTTCACATCTTTGAATTTAATTTCTTTGTATTTAAACTTAATTGCATTCCCACCCTATATTAAAATATAAATTATTCTAGGAGTTGTGGTTTGTGGTACTCACTCTGTGTTATATAGTGGCCCTCTATTGTCATGATATCTTCAGTACTATCATACTCTTGACTTGCCCGCTGCTTGTTGGCAGTCTCCAAGCGATCTACAAGAGGAAATCTTTTGTCAGAATATGTCAAAATATCATTTGTACCAAGATCTTACATAATAAGCTGACATAGGTAAACTAAATTAATTCTCTGGTGCACCGCAGTACTACCTAAATTAAATTTCCAAACAGAAGGATTGTGAATGTTGCTTTCAGAATGCAATTTCCAATAAATCCAAGTCATTACTGGTTTTCAGACTAGCCACAAATTTCAGATAATAACTCCTCACTAACATTTCGTCCAGAGATCTGGATTCCTATTCATGCTCAAAGGATGTTTCAAAACACTTTACAGCCAATTATCAATTTCTGACATGTCGTCACTGTTGCAATATAGGAAACTTACACATAAGATCCATGAACGGCAATGTAGTAATAAGCCGATAATATTTTAGTTGGTGTTGACTGAGGCATGACTGTTAGCCAGGGCACCAAGAGAGTTCCCATGCAATTTTGGGAAGAGTGCTAAGGGACCTTTTACATCACCTGACAGAGAAGACAGGGCTTGCTCTTCAATATAATCCAAAAGATAGACTCCTTCTGTGGTGCACTAAATTGTTAGCCCTTATTATGTGGTCCAATCTCTGAAAAATCCTCCAATTCTGAGGTGTGAGTAACTGTCTTGTGACACATAAAATTTGTAAAATAAAAACACAGGTTCTTAAACTGCAGAAAATGTTCCTCCCATGAGTCCACTACATAGCAGATATATCAATACTGTTTGGCATTTAATCTGTCACATCCCCAGGGAAATCCATTAACATATGATTAAATTAATGTCTGGGAGTAAAATTTGTTTCCAGGCATGTTGTCAGTTTAAATAGTGAAGGACGTGCTGATCAAAAAGGTAACCATTCACTCATACTTGGTAATAAATGTTGAAGTGTTGTCTTGTATTACCAGCTATATGGTGTCAAATCCAAATTAAATGTCTGTTGCATTTGAAGATTTAGCCACAAGCTTCATTTGCAATTGAGAATATGACAGCAGAGCAGGCTGCTTAGATAGAGATGCCAACATCTAATTATCCAAGTTTTGACAAATGGGACAGGCTACTTCTGTCCTGCAATGACATTTTCTGCCTTTTCCACATTTGTGTGTCTGAACCTGTCATCCGGCTGCACAGCATGGAAACAGACCCTTTGGTCCAACTCATCCATGCCAACCAGAGGTCCTAAATTAACCTAATCTCATTTGTCAACATTTGGCCCATAATCCTCTAAACCTTTCCAATTCATGTACCAATCCAGATGTCTTATAAATGTTGTAACTGTACCAGCCTCCACCACTTCTTCTGGCAGCTCATTTCATACATGCACCACCCTCTGCATGAAAAAGTTGCCCCTCAGGCCTCTTTTAAATTTTTCTCACCTTAAACCTCTGCCCTCTGGTTTTAGACTCCCCCACCCCGGGGAAAAGACCTTGGCTATACACCCTATCTATGCCCCTCATGATTTTATAAACCTCTATAAGGTCATCCTTCAGCCTCCAACGCTCCAGGGAAAATAGCCTCAGCCTATTCAGCTCTCCCTATCGCTCAAACCCTCCAAACCTGGCAGCATCCTGAACTTTTCTCAAGTTTCACAACATCCTTCCTATATCAAGGAGACCAGAATTGAATGCTGTATTCCAAAAGTGGCCAAACCAATGTCCCATACAGCCTCAACATGACCTCCCATTTCCTATACTCAGTGCACTGACCAATAAAGGCAAGCCTTCTTCGCTATCCTGTCTACCTGTGACTTGCTTTTCAAGGAACTAGGAACCTGCACCTCAAGGTCTCTTTGTTCAGCTACACTCGCCAGGACCTTACCATTCAGTGTATAAGTCCTGTCCTCATTTTCCAAAATGCAGCGCTTCACATTTATCTAAATTAAATTCCATCTGCCACCCTTTCGTCCGTCAATGCAATACAATGCCACTCAACAGACTTGTGAGATAATTTATAGGTTATGCAATAAAAGGGACAATAGCAACACAAATACAAAATAGGCTGAGGGATAGGTAACAGAATAATGGTTAATGGAGATAGTAGGAACTGCAGATGCTGGAAAATCTGAGATAACAAGGTGTAGAGCTGGATGAACATAGCAGGCCAAGCAGCATCATAGGAGCAGGAAGGCTGACGTTTCGGGCCTAGACCCTTCATCAGAAAATGAATCTGATGCTGCTTGGCCTGCTGTGTTCATCCAGCTCTACACCTTGTTATCTCAATGGTTAATGGATATTTTTCAGGCTGGAAAAAGGTTTGTAGTGGGGTCCCCCAGGCATCAATATTGGATCCTATGCTTTTCCACATACGCTCAATTATCTAAATCTTGGTGTGTCCATGACAATTTCATAGTTTTCAGACAATGCAAATTTGGGAGAATTGTAAACCGTTAGGGCAGTGAAGAACTTCCAAAAGACATTGACAAGTTGATGGAGTGGGCTGATAGGTGGCAGATAATTTTCAATGTGGTGAAGTGAGAGGTGATACACTTTGGTACGAAGAACATGGAGAGATAGCATAAAATATCAGATACAATTCTAAAGGATATGCAAGACAGAGATACCTGGGTTCATGCATAGAATATTAGAATCCCTACAGTGTGAAAGCAGACCATTCGGCCCATCAAATCCACACCAACCCTCCGAAGAGCATTCCACCCAGATCACTACTATATCCCTGTAACCATGCATTTCCTGGCTAAACCACCTAGGCTGCACATCCCAATTTACAGTGACCAATCCACCTAATCTGCACATCTTTGGGCTGTGGGAGAAAACTGGAGCAACCCAAGAAAACCATGCAGAAACAGGGAGAATGTGCAAAATCCGCACAGACAGTCACCCGAGGGTGGAAGTAAACCTGGGGCCCTAGTGATGTAAGGCAGCACTGAGTCACCTTGCTGCCCTATGCATATAAGTCATTAAAAGGTGGCAGGAAAGTTGGAGAAGTCTGTTAACAAAGCATACATTATTTTAGGCTTCATCAATAGCAGCTAAGGGTACAACAGTATGGAAGTCATGCTGAACCTGTACAGGACACAAGTTAGATTCAGCTGAAGAATTGTGTACAATTCCAGGTTCCAGACTACAGGAAGGATGTGAATGCACTGAAGAGAGTTTTACAAGAATAATTCCTGGGATGAGAAAGAAAATAGATTGGAGAGGTTGGAACTGGTTTCCTCAGAGAGGAGAGGGCTCAAGGGAGATTTGAAAGAAGTTTTAAAGATCATGAGGATCTGGGCAACGCAGTTATGAAGAGAATATTTCCACTCGTAAAAGAATCAAAAACCAGACAGCACACTTTTGAAGTGTTTTGCAAAAGCTGCAAATGTGAGTTGAGAAGAAAACTTATTCACACAGAGAGTGGTACAAGTTTGGAATGTACTGACTGCAAATATGCTGACGTCGAGTTCAAAAGGCTTTTAAATTCTTTAAGTAGAAACACTGTACAGGGTTATGTGGAAAAGACAAGTGTTCGGCACAAAGACAAAATGTTCAGAGAGCTGATACAAACATAATGGGCCAAATGGATTCCTTCAGCATCATAACAATTCTCTGATTGGAGTCTGTAAGGTAAAACTGTTGTTTAGCTGGACCATCTTAATCAGAAAAAAAAGCCAGTAGTTACATAGCAAAATTAAATTTAAACAAAGATTTACGTCTTTTTGGAGCTGTGAGGACTCTATTATAAACAAATTTGTGGCACACTAAACACTATAAATCACTTCTGCTGTAAACGCATTACCCTGTTAGGATTTTGCATTGTGATATTGTCTATCAGTTTATCTCTCCGACCCTCCACCCTACCCTTGTAGTTCATCCAGCAATCCTAAGTCCTCTATTGCATTATAAACTTACATTTCTGCCATTTTCCACTTCTGCTGAAAGGTCGTCAATCCCAAACACTGCATATCTCTATAGAATCTTGCCTAACCAGCAGAGTATTTCCAGTCATTTTTTTGTCTTAATCATGCATGCTGATTGGGGAAGAAGCTGCAGAACTAAACAATAAAGTTATCTAAATGTGGAAAGTTTAAAAACATTTGGCCAGATTTTGTTATAGCAGAACAACTTACAGCACCTTATTGTGCATTATCTCAAAAATTAAAATTAATTTGTTTAGGAGTGTACTTTTGATATAAACAGACATTTGAGAAGATAAGATCACTAGGCTTGAAGTTCTGTTTCTCTCTGCAAGATAATACCTCTAAGGTCCCTGTTGAAGTCATATAGTCTTCGTATTTCGCCTTCCAATTTATTCCTCAAGGCTTTATCCAATGTCTCTCGTTTGGTGGTGGACTTCACCAAGTTTTCATGGGCCTCTGAGATCCGCCAAATTTCCATTTCAAACTGCAGAAGAGCACAATAGAAATAGTGCAGCAATTGTTAGCTCTAGTCTCAATTTATATACATAATAGTGTTATTCAGAGAAAATTACACAATTCGCTTGTCACAAACATATGCAAGTGACTTCATTAAGGTAACTTCAATCAAAAATTCAATCAAAAATTTCTTTGAAGTTTAAGCAGACATATCCAATGATTTAAATGAATTAGACAACTGCAGTATTTTCTAAGTGAAATAAAGGGGCAAGTTTGTTTCCATACCAGAGGATAACAGGAGATCCAATAGAAGGCCACAGTAACTTACATATAAATAAGTTTAATGGGATGCTTTAAATGAATTGAATGGTTGGAAGCAGACTGTTATTACCCAGTATATAAATAATTTAAAATCTTTGCACTGTCCTGGAGAAGCACAGTATTGTAACAATATCCGCTGGTCGCTGTAATTTTTCTTTCCAAACACTATCTTTTTAAAAGTCAGTCAATTCCAATGAAAACGTAAAACTTACAGAGTGCATTGTGCCACAGAACAGAATCACTGAATCCTAGAATTATACAATGCAGAAGGAGGCCACTCGACCCATCGTGTCTGCATCGGCTCCCGGAAGAGCTACCCAGCTAGTCTCATTCTCCAGTCCTATCTCCATAGCTCTATAAATTCATCACATTCAAATATATATCCTGCTATCTTTTAAAACTAAGGTTTTGGAGTAGATTTGTAGCTTGGGTTGTGGGTGTTGAGGTTGGTTGGCTCGCCGAGCTGATTTCTTGTTTCGCAGACGTTTCATTACCATGCTGGGTAACATCCTCAGTGCAGCCTCCGATGAAGCATCAGTGTGTTTTCCCGCCTGGTTTTTAAATTCTGGAGTCCGTTAAGCTGGATTGCCTCATTTCCGGTTTTCCTTCGTAGTGGAGTGTATATGGGGTCGAGTTCTATGTGTTTATTAATAACTTTGTGGAGTGCCAGGCTTGTAGGAATTCCCATGCCTGTCTCTGCTTAGCTTGTCCCAGGACTTTGGTGTTGTCCCAGTCGAATTGGTGGTTCTCCTTATCCATGTGGATAGAGATGAGTGAGTATTGGTCGTGTCTTTTTATAGCCAGTTGGTGTTCGTGTACCCTTGCTGTTAGTTTCCTTCCTGTTTGTCCAATGTACTGTTTCTCACAGTCACTGCAGGGGATCTTATAGATGACATTGGTCCTGTCCATGGCGGGGAGTGGGTCTTTAGTTCGTGTGAGCAGTTGTCATAGGGTTGATGTGGGCTTGTGTGCCACTCTGATGCCCAGCGGTCGTAGGAGTCTCCTACGACCAATACTCACTCATCCCTATTCGACTGGGACAACACCAAAATCCTGGGACAAGCTAAGCAGAGACAGACATGGGAATTCCTACAAGCCTGGCATTCCACGAAGAAAATCATTAATAAACACATAGAACTCGACCTCATATACACTCCACTATGAAGGAAAACCGGAAGTGAGGCAATCCAGCTCAACGGACTCCAGAATTTAAAAACCAGGTGGGAAAACATACTGATGCTTCATCGGAGGCTGCACTGAGGATGTTACCCAGCATGGTAACGAAACGTCTGCGGAACAATAAACCAGCTCGGTGAGTCAACCAACCTCAATATCTTTTAAAACTTCTGTGGAATCCACCTCCACCACTCTCCCAGGCAGTGCATTCCAAATTCTAACTATTCTCTGAGTAAAGAAGTTTCTCCTCATCTTAATCCTAGCTCTCTTGCTGTCAATCTTGAAATTGTGTCCTCTAGTTACTGACATACAACTAGAGGAAACAGAATATCCTTCTTTACCGTGTCAAAGTTTTTCATAATTTTGAACACCTCAATAAGATCACCTCCTAATCTTCTCTGCTCTAAGGAGAATAAGCCTAATTACTTAAATATTTTCTTGTATCTAAAATCCCTCACTCCTAGTTATCATTCTAGTAAATCTCCTTTGAACTCTTTAAAGGGTCTTAACATTCTTTCTTCAATAACGTGCCCAAAACCGAATACAATACTCCAAATGTGGTCTGACCAATGATTTGTATAGGTGTAGCATCACTTCCTTACTTTTATACTCTATGCCTCTAGTTATAAACCCAAGGATCCCAACTCTTTCAACTTGCCTAGTCACCTTCAGAGAAACATGCATGTGAACCCTGAGATCCCTCTGCTCCTTTACTCCCGTCAAAGTTGTACCACTGAGCCTGCATTTTCTCTCTGTGTTTCTTCTACCAAAATGCATCACCTCATATTTCTCTGCACGGAAATTCATTTGCCAGGGTCTGCCCATTTGGCCAACTTGTCAATGTCCCTTTGAAGTTGCTCAATGTCATCCTGATAATTCACAATTCTTCCTAGCTGACCACCTTTTTCAACTTGACTCCAGACTGAGAAATGCCCATTTGTATCTATCCTCTATTTCCTATCAGTCAACTTCTAATCCATGCTACCAAAGATCCATCAATTCTATACAATTCTAATTTTCTAACCAACTTGCCATGTGGCACCATATCAAATGCTTTCTGAAAATCCAGAGCCAGTGCTTTGACAAAATATAAACAATGAAGTTTTTAAACATGTTGATGATAATATTCCAAAATGAGTCTGTTTCCTAGAAAAAGTGTGTATATCACCATTTCGACGTCAAGAATAGATTCAGCTTGGAAACACTTGATTGTACATGAGGTGGTCATTAATGGTTTGCATTTAAATGATACATTTGTACAGGGGTTGACAAAGGACCTAAGTGGAAAGGAACTAAGTGTGCGGGGTAATATGGGATAATAAACATATTTGGAGGAGTTGGAGCTGGCTAGAAATACTTTGGACAGGATACAGCAGGCCAGAAACACCTTTTCTGATATCGATTTCCCACTGCTAGCTACAGCCTTGTATAGATTAAGAGACCTATCTTCCTGCATAACATAACCCGAAAGAAATTTAAAAGAGGGATATTGGGGTAATTTTTTGGAATTCACATTCATGGAATCAGATCTTGCCAGTAATTAGTGTACATCAGAAGACTGCAGCTGTGTTGCCTATAAGTTCTTTATATTGACTCAAGGTGATTTTACCAACAGTACAAACTTGGAAAAGTTAGGCTTTGAATATGATCTATAAAAAGGGCAGTTGTGGGAACTACAGAAATATGGAAGATACAAAAGAAAGGTGAGGAAACCAATTAGAGGAAGAATTAAGGACATAAGCAAAGAGAAGGAGAATGGAGCAGAGTCACCACAACGAGAAAAATTGAAGTTGAATGAAGAAAGGGCAGGGTGAAGGTGAAGACACAGTCTGAGATTTAACACAAAAGTAATGTCATTAGGTAGGAAACACAGAAAAAAGTTCATAGAATCAGAAAATCCCGACAGTGTGGAAACAGGCCCTTTGGCCCAACAAGTCCACACCGAACCTCAGAGCATCTCACCCAGACCCATTCCCCTGTAACCCACCCAATCTACACATCCCTGAATGCTATGGGCAATTTAGCATAGTCAGTTCACCTAACCTGCACATCTTTGGACTGTGGGAGGAAACGGGAGCACCCAGAGGAAACACACGCAGACATGGGGAGAATGTGCAAACTCCAGACAGATAATCACCCAAAGGTGGGATCAAACCCGGGTCCCTGGCACTGTGAGGTAACAGCGCTAACCATTGAGCCACCACACCGCCTGAATTGTAGGATATATGAACATAAAGCATGAAACAAAAGAAGCACAGTCAATGCAGTGAGAACATTCCCTTCTGCAAAATAAAGGATCATAAAAATCTCAGCACATGAGGTGGCTGTGTGATCCAGGATGCCTGAGTTTGTGCTAATTCCACAACAGATCTATCTACCTTAATCAATATACTTAAGCATATAAATTTTAACTATGATCATTTATCCCCTATGAGATATAAAGTGAGTTGATAGGAAATGTCATGTAAGAGGGAATTAAAGAAGCACACAATAAGTATTTACCTGAATATTCCTTTCCTACTCTTCCTCTATACCCATTAATAGATTTCCATTTTAATTACCTCCAAATATAAAATAAATCTCACTTAGATAACAAATCGATTACATCGGACAGCGGTGACACTATACAACACTTTTCACTGCATTTTGTAGCAAAATACAAAGACCATTAATGAATCAAATCTAAATAAAATCAAATCTAATTTCCTCACTTTTGATCAGCTGACTTGTGATAAAAATCTGGTTTAGGAAGCTGATTCTGGTCTAAAAATGGCTTGCACCATATTGAAATTGAAAATTGCAGTTAGTTACAGACAGAAAGAGGATATCCTTAAAGGTAGGAAATACAGAAATGTTTTACTTTTAAGGCCTCAGATGCAACTTTTTTGTTTAAAAATCTACCTCCCTTTGTAAAGACTTCAGAGTAAATTATCGTTCTTGTGATACGAGCAGTAATCTGCCTGCCTTATTGGACTAGATTTGGAGTATATATACTACAGAAATTGTAACAATGGTACCTAATTCAATTTCCACACACATTTAGGAGTAAATTACTGTAAATGCTGGAATCTGAACTGAAAACAAAAAGTGCTGGAGATCACAGCGGGTCAGGCAGCATCCATGGAGAGAAAGGTTAGCTTGGATGCTGCCTGACCTGCTGTGATGTCCAGCATTTTTTGTTTTCATTCCATGCACATGTAGTCTTCTATGCAGGTGTCACAGGATGGACAGAGAAAAACAAGGTTGCTCTTTTCCATCCCTAGCCCAGGTACTCCGAGGCCAATCTTCACATCTCATAGCCATTCCAATGGAGAAAGCAAATTAAACAGGGAACATACCTTCGACCAGTTGTTCTGAAAGGCTCAGTTCCAAAACTGGGCAGTGCATATATGATACACGACACTAGAGAATGGAATGTACAAATACAAGAACATTCAAGGGCAAAAAAAAATTAATCATCCTACTCACCAGAGCTCATCCTTATGGTACTCTTAAATCTACCAACCTTGTAATCAACTGCATTTTGAACAC